TGTCTCAGACATAATCTGCAATACACAAACACTGTGCGAAGATGGGCACGCAAAAGCCCACTGACACTGAAAAATGCGAGAGCGTGCTGCAGACGCCGAAGACTATGAAGGTGAAGATACAGAGCTTGATAAGATTATATAACGTCAATAATGCGTTCCCTGAAGAAGACGCCTTAAGTAGTACAGTAGCGGTACATGTTTTTGTCACCCACTTGGCAGGCCGTTGACAGCACTGCAGGGTCTTGTCTGGCAACTGGACTCAAGCATACTCCAAGCACAAATGATCGAGCATAACGTGCAAAGAAGAACACACAAACAGCTCAAGTAAGTAAAAACAGCCCCCCAAACCAACTACTGTAAGCTATAAGAATAATAAAAGCCAAAGGATGCTCAATCAACTCTTCGAGGGAAAAGTCCACAAATCGTATCAACTGTTATGTGATGAGATTCACGGGTGCGACTCACAACATCTGCAAACGTAGTAGATGTGAAAGTAGTAGTAATCGACGTGGTAGGCGTCGTCGCTAGTGGTAGTAGTGGTAATAGTCATAGTAGTAGTAACCGTAGTAGTAGTAGTAGTAGTAGTAGTAGTCGTAGTAGTAGTAGAAGTAGTAGCAGTAGCAGTAGTAGTAGTAGTAGTAGTAGTAGTAGTAGTCGTAGATGTAGTAGTAATAGGAGTAGTAGTAGTAGTAGTAGTAGTAGTAGTACTTAGTAGTAGTAGTAGTAGTAGTAGTAGTAGTAGTAGTTTTGTAGCAGTAGTCGTCGTCGTAGCAATAATAGAACTGAGCGGAACATGATAATAGTTTCCATCCGAGCCTGACAATGTGTCCCGTGGATTTGTCACCTGAGCAAGAAGCCACACAAACTCCCTCGTGGCCGCGAGGGATTAGATGATTAGATGTGGGGGTTGACCGGAAGCGAGCAGCGTGAAGGCATCAACACCTTGCGATGCGAATATGTTCACTGCATGATCCCAAAGGGCAGCTTATCACTCATCACTTGGCTCCCCTTACATGCATAACCAAGGAACGGATCCGAATCGCAACAAGGCGGCCCTTCTTCAGCTCTTGCTTCGTCAACTCCTCACCACGAATGCATCATACATGGCACGGTCAGGGCGGGGTCGACCATCTCAACCCTCCTGCGGTCTGCTTAGTCGCGACTTTCTCTTTGGAAGCCCGTTGAAGGCCTGGGAATGAAGTGCACCGTGTTGAGCCCTTCTTGAACTCAGCTGGAAGCCTAATTTCGGGTCCACCACGTGCCCAGTTGACAAGCACTCCACCCCCCGCTGACAACACCGGAGTGAAAGTCCGAGACTTCGGCAGAAAATGAGTCCCCGAACTGTGGCGAGAGTGCTGTTGTTGCTGGGCGAAGGCATTATGTGAACGTGATAAAGCGAATAACCTTCCGCATGTGAGGAGATCCTCGGCGCCCCGAACAATCCGAACATACACAGGGCAGCGTCCGTAACATGGTAGGGCTTACCATGTACACTACAGTAGTGGGGGTTAGCATTGGTTGATGTCAACCCCATGCCCTGCCCATGCCAAAACCCTTGGTCCTTGCAAGCCACTCTGCTTTGCAGGCAATAGAGTACTGAGGCTGATGCTCGTAGATGCCAAAAACTGTGAAGCAAGGGCAAACAAAGAGCTGCACAGCTTCGCGACAGGTACAAGCTGTCTGCAACAACCTCTCCGCATCTGTTCACAAAACCAGCGTTGTTGAAACGAGCTCCTCCGGGTCACCTTCTTGGTTCCAGCAGGCGCTGAACACCTGACAAGCAAGGTGTGCAACAACCTGCTGGCATCCGCAGGCCATGTCATTGTCACGCCTGTCCGTGCGGTCCCTCCCCGAGCACGTTCAGCAAACGGTAGCGCTCCAGCAGGTCGTTTGGCACACCTGAAACCTGGCATGGCATGTCGCAATGCCAACTCCTTTCTCACTCGAAGATGCAGATTCGCATCTACCATATCTTACTATGAACTGCTGCAGGGAGGCAGGATCACGCGCCCCGAAAATTTCGGCCAGCGCTTCTCGAACCCGCATCCGGATATAGCGAAAACGTCGGGACCTAGTTCAACGTGGTTTTGCCAACTTCATGAAATCTCGTCAACCATACCACACATGCACAGGTGGTACTGCCAAAGCCAAGCGTCAGAAGCCGGTAAAGAATCGTACGCCTAAGTACATACCAAGGCGAACCATGTCAGGAATTGATGTGCAAACCAACGTACATCGCTCGCCTGCAAATGACGCAAGAAAATGCTCATCGACCGACCCACCTCCCTTATTTTGTCGAAGTTGCCCGCGAAGACCACGGGCATTGTAGATTTTCACGATGTGTTCCCGGTACTCTGCCTAAAGGTCTCATCCAAATTCGTCAGCCTGCGTACACTTGCAGCAAATGCATCGATGGCCTCCCGCTGCGCGATGTCATCCAAGCGGTCCGGGCGCGGCTTGAAGGTGATCCATTGGTTGCGCTCCAATGCAGCCCTCGACCAAAGAACAGTCCAACCGCTCTACAAGTAGTGAAACACGGCAAGAACCACTGGCCTTCTCAAGCGCCGTCGGCAAATGATGCGGATGATGGTCCAACCAATGAATTTCAAGATCCTCAATGCACACACTGCAACCTATCTGAGAATTCATTTCTGCATGCCACGCAGAAATGAAGAAAAAAGAACTGCACCGCTGCATAATTACTCAATATCCTTCTCTTGGCTTTTTCTACGCATGCTCACCAAGTGCTTATGTTGGAGGCAGTCGGGGTTCTTCCAAAGGACCTGGGCGATGCACTTCACCACCTCGCATTGGTTTCACAATTGCCCGTGCGTTGTCCAGATTCCTATGGCGTGCCGGCCCTGGAACCCAGCAAATCGCCAAGAACGCAAGCAGCACAAACAGCTTAACTGGCTGCGTCCCACCCTCTTCGTGCAGCGGCAACATCCCACACGGCGCCGACGACTTACCTGTCACGGAGAATGTGTGTTCACGAAGTCGCGCTGGCCAGGGCGACAAACTACTCAATGCAGTTGGCCTTCCCCTTCAGAGTGCCGCTTCCTGCAAGCGCTTACAACGCAAACATTGGAGACGTGGAGCCGTGGAGCTACCAAACACGATCACATCGAGCAATGACACATGATAACAATGTTGCTGGCCCGAGGGACTGGATGCCCCTGCTGTCAATTGCCGTGTTTGCAAGAAACTCGGTACACTCTTCGCGCTGGGGGACGTTCCTCGGCTGCACAGAAGAAGCGCACATTGTACGGGTTCTGCAAAAGGCTGTCCTTCCGGACAATGTTATCAATGGTTCCCGGCATACCGGAACCGCCCGTGAAATCCAGCGAAAACTTTGCTCTGTTTTTTGGGGATCACGAGTTCGGGAGTGCCCGAGGACACCTTTTACAGCGAGCATCATGGACATGAGTGAACCCAGCATCTGGGGGCAAACCGTCGGTTCGACCTCCCAAACGAAACATCACGAAAATATGTCTCATAGCTGAACCATCTGTCCGATATCATTCTTCACTGCCGTAGGTCTCCAACACTCGCCGGCTCTGCGTGAGGGCAGGTGCTCGATCTTGCTTGTGCTGCGGGGCCGAAGTCTAAGCAAGTGTCCAGGTGGCACTGCGCCGGAAAGACTAGTACATCAGCAGGAGCGAAACGGGAGTCAACAAACACTTCAATCCGATGGCAAACCTCTCATGGCAGTCAGCCTGCGATGCCCTCCAGAAAATGTACGTGCCCACGTTGTCGATGTCGTGTTGGGTAACAATCGTGCACGCGCAGCCCCCGCTGCACCCTCTTTTGCATACAGCGTCTCGTGATGTCTCGTGCCCCACTGCTTTCGATATGGGTGTAAACTGTGTAGATGTCGTTGCCTTTGGGCGGCGGTCCTGCAAATCATGATGTTGCGCGTTTTAATGCTCGGGACCCTGATTACAGATTTCCATGTGGCCAAAGCGTGCCATATTCAGCAACCGGCAGGAAAGCAAGCTCCATGCTCTAACTGTGATACATGGTCGTTTCGAAAACTCATTGTTTTTATGAGTCATGGGGTGTCGTCACAACACCAGCTGCGCAGTGGAGATCCTAAACGTTCTCAAGCCTGCACAGTTCGAGAACTGTTCGAGGTTAATACACGAAAAGCAATCGCCGCAACGCGAGTATTCGATCATACGCGCACCCTTCTCCACACCGAGGCACGGCCCAGCCGCTTACCGCTGCGTGTAGCTACGAGCAAACAGTCTCGTCGCATTGCTTGCGCGCGCGGAGACGAATGTGTGGGACCAAGAATATCCAAGAATTTGCCATGCCTTCAAGCTGGACCCCAGGACGGACCGAAAGCTTACGGACTCGGGGCTACTTGCCTCGATGCACATGGGGCCGCGGCAACGGAACACTACTGGAAGAGTCGATGCACAATCTTTTTGGTGAACACTGCTGGCCTCGCCGCTGTGCGACAACTCTCTCACGAATGTGTCACACAAACTCATGCACCAAGGGCTACAAACTGTAAGACTCACACCGGAAATCTTGCTCATCGGTTATGATGCTACGTGGCCCAACCCTAACGTTGGAATCGCACGCGGTTCAGACGCCGCCTTTGCCAGAATGACTCCGCATGTGTGTGTGTGTGTGTGTGCGTGTGTGTGTGTGTGTGTGATTGTGTGTGCGATTTCGCTGTGTGTGTGTGTGTGGGCGCGACCCCTGCGTCCATGTCTGAGGACGATTGATGGCGGTTCGTGTCGTGCCGATATGGCCTCTGCTGGTGCCGTTTTGTCAGTGCTTGCTTCCGGGCACCTGTCGCGTTGTTTTCGCGAAACTGCTTGGCGCAATGTCTGTTGAAATATGTTGATTTTTGTTTTCCCCGGACTTTTCCGTCTTGACGAGGGTCCAGTGGGGTCGAGCTACCCTACCCTACTCAAACCTACAGTTCCTATGGCCCGACTACGGCTAGCTGTTGCAATTTTGCCGCGACACACAAATGGATGTTGCTTCCGTTGCGCATGTATTGCTTGCTCAGCTGCAGCATAAATCTTTCTTTTCACGCACCTTTTTTCCCAGAACGCAGTGGCGACCATGTTAGTTCGCACTACTACGGCTACAGGGGCGGCAGGCCCTATGTGTTTGCCCCAGCGCTGAACGCAAAATGATGGTCTGGCGGCACTGCCCCCGTGTCGCTGGACCGACTTTTGAACACCAGCCCGTACATCAACAGCGCACGTGATGTCACCGCAATGTTGCCTATGTCGTACATGTTTGCCAAGCTGCTGCGGCGTGTGAGTTTTGAATACATGGTTCGTTTATTCTCCGACTTAGCCAATGCTGGCAACCGTTTTCCATGTTGTGAAAATTTGGCAACGCCAATGGGTGCTGCTTGTGTGGGCTGCGTACTTGTACAATCCGTTCAGTTTGCGAGTACATCTTGCCAGCACTTCACTGAAGTTGATATTCCCGTTGTTTTGTTTTCATTTTTTTGTTTTCATTTTATCATGGTGTATTGTTTTCACGTGCTTTGTTACCAAACAGGGTATACCACCAATGAGCTCACAAGCAGAGAGGGCTTCACGCTCAACGCTCCGAGCCTACATCGCGTAATCATTTCCCCGTTGTATAAAACGGCTCCCCCCCCACCGAACAGATTCTCGGAAAGCGTTTTCTATTATTAAATGATTTTCTATATGCCAGTGGCCGAAAGGAGGTCCCATGAAAAGGGGTTGGAATACTTTAGAATACTTTACTTCTCATTATCCGGGGGTGAGCAATATGATTCTGGAGGCAAGGGTGGGTTCAGAAAAATTTTGTTTTTCACGGACGTTTCCGCCTGCAGGAAGGTGTAACAGCCACACTGGTCTTGCTACAGCGCGCGGTCCCGGCTTAGGGCCGCAGAGGCAAGCGGCTGGGCCCTTCGTTGCTGGCAAGGTCGAGCACGCGGTCCAGTGCAGGGCCGTGGCTCGGCCCTAGCAGTGGAGCAGCCGGCCTAATTTATCCACCCCGGGTCCTGGATTTAGCATGGCTTATCTCCCGACTGCCTTGGGGTGTGACACATGGTGTGACCAGGCACTGGCGACTGCACTGACTTCTGTTCCACGTTTATGCTTCCGATTTTGGGTGTTTCGGCTTTCCAAGGCAAAATGCCTGCGGACATGTGCACAAGAAAATCGAGCATTTGTTGTGAGCACTATTCATACCCAGATCATTTTCGGTGTTTTACAATGTCTTATGCCGTCACAACTCGGACATATCAGCAGCACCTCGTTCGTGACCTCGTTCGTTTCCGGGCCCTCCGCGCGCCGCCCGCAGTGCGCAACGCCGCGTCTTCAGGGTGGGCGCGACGTTGGTGGGCGTGGCGTAGCTGAAACAATTTCCTGCGTCAGGTTCTGTAAATGCGGTGGAGCCCCGAAACCAAGTCGTCGGTTGCCCAGCAATATTAGTCTGCAACCCCCCCAGTATCCTGGCGAAACCCATCCGCTAAATAATATATTGTTTCTCTGCAAATATGGGACCGGAACGTAACGCCCCGCCCTAGAATGATTACTTACGGCCTAAGGCGGGGCTCGTTCCTGCTTCTGTTGCATCTCTTGCTGACACACACACACACACACACATTTTTTTTGACGGACTTTTCCTCGCTGCATAAGCGGACGCAAATTTTGCAACACAAAGCACGGGGGTCGAAGGCCAGGGGCGACGGCCGCCAGCTGTGCACTGTGTGGATCTTGCTCACTTTGGCTGCTTTACTCGCAGTAATCGACTTGTGACAGGGCGACAATTCCGATTCTTGGCAGTGCCGTGCTCGTAAGCTCATAGTATCGTAGGCCGTGCGGCAGCACAGGTGTACGGCTTAGGCTTTAGTCAACGTAGGTCCGTAGGTAGTTCGGTAGTTTGTTTACTACATTTTACTACTTATCTTAGTCTTCGGTTTAGGATTTAGGGCCCCCCCACGGCACAAGCTTGATTTCTGAATGACATTGCATCCAAACCCCCCACTCTCCTGAAGTGCCACTGAAAGCTGCTCACGTGTCCATGCCGCACCCAAATATCCAGCATTGCCACACCAGACTCCGTATGGCATCAGCTCAGCTGCACCTACTAACAACGTCCAGGGCATTTTTGTGCCGGACATGCACCACCGACGTCCAAGGCATTTTGTGTCGAAGACCAACGACGGCAAGGGCACTTTGCGTCGGAGACTAACGACGGCACGGGCATTTTGTGACGGAGACCAACGACGGCAAGGGCATTTTGTGACGGAGACCAACGAGGCAGATCACAAAACAGGGCATTTGTGACGCAGACTAACGACGGCAAAAACATCTTCTGACGGAGAGCAACGACGCCGATCACAGAACAGGGCGTTTTGTGACGGAGACCGACGACGGCAAGGGCATTTTGTCGCGGGAGACCAGTGACGCCGATCACAAAACAGTGCATTTTGTGACGGAGACCAACGACGCCGATCACAAAACTAAGGTGCTGGCATGTGCTGTGCTTCCAGAAGGTATATCCCGCTTCCGTCCACCTTCGGTTTTGGGGTAACCGTAAACCACTTGTAAACCCAAACCTTTTATTTAAACCCGAAGGTCTGGCTGAGTGCTTGCTTTCGTGTTCGGCAGAACTGGTGCCGAACACAAAAACCATGGTGTCAGAGAATGTCTTCCACAGCTTATAATAGTGTTGGGGCCTCCATTGAGCCAGAATCGTTGCCGTAAGATAATTTTTTTGCTCGGCGCCGCTAGCGCCGAACACAAACAGTGTGCTGCCAGCGAGGAACGGTTTTGTGTCGCTTGGGGCTTCCGGCGCGCAACTTCCACGGGAGGATGTCATGCGAACATGTATTTTCCATGATGGGACGTTTCAGCCGCGATGGCATGATGGACTTCGGAAGCGGGGTAGACCCAAACAAACATGGCTCTCAGAAGTTTTTCGCATGGCTCTGGATATGTGCGGCGATCGGCTTAGTTTAGAGACCTTATGGAAATTAAACGGCCCCAACAGTTTGGCAGCACAAAGTGCTCACATATAATTTCACACGTTTGCCACATCAGCGAAACCCACGAGGCTTTGACCGTGGGGGTTCCGGCCACCGAACTCTGGCGGGTGGAAACCAGCGGAATATATCCTCTGCAAGCACAGCAAATGCCAGCATCTGAATTGTTTGTGATCAGCGTCCTTGGTCTCCGTCACGTCACAAAATGCCCTGTTTTGTGATCGGCGTCGCTGGTCTCCGTCACCAAGTGCCCTTGCCGTCGTTGGTCTCCGTCACAAAATGCCCTGTTTTGTGACCGGCGTCGTTGGTCTCCGTCACAAAATGCCTTTGCCGTCGTTAGTCTCCGACGCAAAATGCCCTTGCCGTCGTTGGCCTTCGACACAATATGCCCTGGACGTCGTTGGTGTCCGGCACAAAAATGCCCGGGACGTCGTTAATAAATGCCGTGTGTGTGCTTCTGAGCTGATGCTAGAACGAGTCTTGAATGGAAATACTGGAAATTGGGGTGCGGCATGGACACGTGAGCAGCTTTCATTGGCACTTCAGGAGAATAGGGGTCTGGAAGCATCGTCATTCAGAAATCAAGCTTGTGCCGGGGGGGGGCCCTAAATCTTAAACCGAAGACCATGATAAGTAGCAAACGATCTACCGAACTACCTACGGACCTAACTTGACACCTACGATACTATGAGCCTACGAGCACGGCACTGCCAAGAATCGGAATTGTCGCCAGGCTGTCACAAGCCAGTTGTCCCGGACGGTTGGTGGCCATCTCGTTAATTCATTCATCTGAAATGCTAGGGTTTAGCGGGTTCAGCGTGTTTGTGCTTAGCAGAGCATGCTCCCTGCTTGCGCGCATAATGTAAATGTTCCTCTCCTGCTGACTTTGAGTATTGCGAGGAAAGGAGCCAGAGCGAGCAAGCTCCACACAGTCCACAGCTGGCGGCCGTCACCTCCTGGCCTTCGCCCCCCCCGCTTTGTTGCAAAAATTGTGTATGTATATGATTTTATAAATGTACATACATCATCACATATACATATATGTACACCCATCTAAATTACTCCAAGGTTGTATATCGAGCGCACATCGGGTTTACGGGGATGTTAAGGTTTGTCTCGCCCACAAATTAACTTGAGCCCATGCACCTGTACATGTAATTAGTTACGTAATGTCCTGCGATCGAGATCACAGGCTGCACCATACGTTTCGTCCAAAAAGCTTATACTTCACAAAAAGGCCGAAAACACAATGAAAAACACAAGCTTTAAATAAAAGCCAAAGGCATCTCCAGGTATCGTCTTAGAGCCCCCAATCTCCCAATATACGGTTCTGCATTTGGAAACAAAAACTCCGGACAAAAACACCATATTCCACGAATCCATATACGTTTTGAACACATGATAACATAAAGAATTGTTTTTCCCACCCGTTTCGCTGATAAAGAGTGTTTCGGCGCTCACGTTCGGACAATCCAGGCGAGGCATGTGGTTCGAGGTCCACTGAGAAGCGAAGCAACAGCGACAAGACCACCAGACAACAACGTCTCATAAGGAAACAGCCTGCTAGTTTCGGGTGGGTCTTCATCTCGCCGGAATCCAACCGACAAGAATCTAGTGTAAGACAACACGGGACCGGATCAGGTACACTAGGGCCATGCAAGATTCTAGGGGGCTCGTGTGAGACTCCTGATGATTGACCAAAATCCAGAAGAAAGTCACTAAATGACGAAAACATAAATGCTGCAGGGTTTGGGGTTTTGGGGGGTTTAGCATGCGTGTCGGGGCTCCTGGGAATCGAGGACCGGGGCCAGGAGCACCGGCAAAAGGAAACCAAACTAAAGCATTTGCAATTCGATTTTCAGGTTTAGGCACGAGATTCAGCTGGGGCATTAGCAAAGCTGAAACAAATCTATATGTGTTTTCCAGCCTTGAAAAATTGTATTCACCATGTTTCGGCTGAAGACCCCAGGGCTCACGCTTTTGGTGAAAAAGTCGGTCAAGAGACACAATCGTCAAGCCAAGTTCAGCACGACCTTCGTACGGGCACCAAACATCTTACGACGCACATTATGCTTGCCCAAATTTCGCCAAAGGTGGCAAAATCTAAAAATAACCAAACGGATTTTTGAGCTCTTGTCCTTCCGGCGTTCCCCTCGCAAAAGTTCCGAATGACGGGAAACTCGATGGGAGAAACATCCGAAACACCACACCTCCGCAGCTCGGCTTTCGGACGCCCGATGGTACTATTAGAATAGGGTTTCGGGGTATCTTTTTTCTTTCGGAAGGCCTTGTGTCCAGTCGAACGCGCCTAATGCTAACGAATTCAAACAGTGAAACTAAAAGAAAGTGCCGGCGGGGCCGCTAGGCACATGGTGCTCAGCCAGCTGTACAGAGAGCCGCGATTCGGCGCAGCTGAGCCAAAAATGAGATGGCAACGACGACCTTTGCCAGCCAGCGCAAACACCACAGACAACCAGCCGAGGCAGTGCACGAGCCAAGACAGGTGGCGGCGGAGCAGCCGTAAGGGGCAGGAAGGCAGATCCCACAGATCCGGAGCATCAACTGGAGGCTGTGGCAAGCGGACGAGAGCACCTGCGAAATCCACAAACACGGGAGGCGGGCAGGCGAAAGGAGGCGACCGCCATCCACCCCCTGGGGCAAGGTCCAGAAGAGACGAGGCAAAGTCAGAATCCACATGGAGGACCAGACCAGGGAGACCGGCAGGGCGCGGTAGCCACGGAAGGGGAAGGACCGAAGGTCGAAAACCCTGCGTGCCACCCGAACAACCCCTAGCCGGGGCGGCGTCTTCACAAAGCAGGTCAGCACGCATGCAGAGAAGCACGTCTCCCGCAGCAGCCCGAGTGTTGTCATCCGGAAGAGTGGCAATCCAAGCCTTGAGTGTAGCCCGCAGCACCGGCAAGGGGGCAACTTCGGCCACAACCACCTCAAAGATGTCCTCGTCTGACGGTGCCACCAGTGCACGGAGCCGACAAAGCAGGGAGGGCACAACGTCAGGCTCAACCTCGGGCAAATGGGCTGTGCCGCGGCCAGCGACCGCGCGACTTTGCACATGTCCATTGGGCAGCGAGACAACAGGCAGAAGCGAAACGTCATTGCGTAGGACCGACTGTAAGCAACGCCTTGAAACCTGCAGATGAGTGCGGTGGCGTTTGACATTGGCGAACACTGAGCCGCACGCTCGACAGCGGTTGCCCTCAGCCGCACGGAAGTGAGGTGCTCGATAACCGTGTTGCAGCAGCGCATGAGAAGCCCAGCTCTGGAACCTGTCATATGCCCGTTTACAGATCAGACAAGCGTGCAGTTGATCAGAGGAATCGTCCAAGACAGTTGGGACGGGTGCCCAGGTGCGGCGAACAAAACTGTCAAAGGACACCCACGCTTGGCGGCGTCCCTGATGCCAGGCCAGTGCGCGCCGAATCAACCCTTTCCAGAGCCTCGGCCTATCAACCATTAACCCCAACCAGCCGTCCCAGCACTCCACGAACTTATCAAAAGGGGCAGTGGATTCAATCGCCTGCATGAGCCATTGGCCCGCGCTGCGGAAAGCCTCCAGGGCAAGAGGATTGTGCTGGAGCAGGGCCCAAGCCGCAGGAGGTCCCTTAGCTGCCAATTGGCCCAAGAAGCGCAACCTCTCAGCAGCAAGGAGATCGGACGGGCTGGGGAAACCGCAAGCAACAAAGATGGCTTGGCGAGTCCATCTCTGATCGGCCTCGACCGAGATGCGCAGCATCTGACGACACATGGAGGTAACAAACTTCTCCAGGAGCGACCAAGAACCCTGGCATAACACCGGCCAAGCCCCGGCGCCCGCCAGCAGCACCGAAACAACATGCTGATGACACAGGCAAACACGGCGCACCAGTGGTATGGAGGGGCAAGCAAAGATCTTCCTGCGTCCTTCACCAAACGCGGCCTTGGCAAGGGCAACACGGCTTTTGACCTCTGGGAGCATCGAACAGCTGTATGTGAGGATCGACCCAAGATGTCGATAAGACGGGACCACATCAACGGTAACAGGACATCCGTGCTCCCGCAGTACGTTAAGCTTAGCTTTGCCTCGATGGAAGAGGTCGTCCCGCGCGGCCCGTGCATGTCTACCCCGAGGAGCCAGGAGCGCAGCGGTCTTCTTCGGGCCAAAGTTGGCGGTCAATCCGTGGCCCGAAATGGAATCCAAGGACCTGCCCAGCACGTGCCGGACCGTCTGTCCTAGCTGCCGAGCATCCGGTGAAACCACGCAGGAAGCGTGGTCATCTGCATATGCTATATCCTGAACGACAGCAAGTTCGGGGCAAGGGCAAGCGGAAGAGCTGAAGGTCTGAAGCTCACGTTTCCCGGTCCACGGGATTGTGGGTACCGATTCAGGGTCGAAGTCCCCACGTCTGGCCAGGACACGTTCAAACAAAAGGTTGAACGTAACATCTGCCAAACAACTCCCAGGACGGGTTCCGCGCCTTGTGCGCACCAGAACATTATCAGCCGCAACATGGAACCAGGTATCTGCATGTGCCTCACGAGCGACTGAGAGCAACATGTCTCCACAGTCCCCTGCCAAAATGGGCTCATGCAGGATGTGATGCTGGAGCATCTGCAGATCCTCTGGTGCCAGCCGCAGAGACTCTGCGACTGCCGAAAGTGGCTCAGAGCATAGGCCTGCTCCTACAACTGCTTCTCGCACTACAGCATAGTAGGCCGCTGCTAGATCGGAAAAGATCAAGGCCACCGAAAGAGAACTAGCCTTGGCGAACCCCAGAAAGTTTCTGGAGATAAAATGGCCGAAGGAATAGGTCATACCTTTGCGGCCACCTATTTGCAAGGGGCCCGCACGAGCCTCGAAGCATGCAGCCGGCAGCTTGCGGAAGGCCCGTTGTAGTGCCTTGCCAAATACCGGCTGGACCAGTATGCCACGCTGCGAGGAAGCCACAGTCCGGTCCGGAGCAGACGGCTTGGCAATGTGGTACAAGACCCCGCCCTTAAACCCCACGGGTTCACTGGCCATCAGTGCACTTTTAAGAAGTAGGGGCCATAACAGAGCTGCAACCGGAGTAGCAAAACGCCTGCATACCGCTGGTGGCACCAAATCAGGGCCACATGCCTTGTGGGGATGCACTGCCTGCAAAGCCCGAACGAGCTCCCCAAATGACGCATTCGTGCTGGCGCTGAAGGCATCCTGTCGCAAGCTGTTCGGGAGAAACCGACTGCCCTCCCTCCAGACTGGCAAAGTGGCGACGCCATTCTGCAGCAACTTCCTCATGCCTGGCACACCAACGACCTTCAGGTGTACGAAGCCGTGGAAGGGGTTGGGGACCAGAGCGGTTAAACTTCTTGGGGCGGAGAAGCTTCTTGACAGCGGCATGGACATGTGCTGCGGGGGATTCGCCGACCTCCGTAGCGAGCTTGGAGAGGAACTGATTGCGATCGAGCCGACATTGACGCCGAACCTGTTTGCCAAGGTCACTAAGACGAGCAGACGCGGATGCAATCGAACACCGTAATGTGTGCAACCATCGACCCTGAAAAATCGAACTAAGACCCAAGGGGCCTCGCCAAGCGAGCCATGCACAACGGAGAATAGTAAACCGCATAGCATGGCATCGCCATCGCAACGCATGACGGAGTGCAGCTGCTTGTCGGTGAAGTTCAGCAGTAGTGTCAGACAAGTAGCCACGACTGAGACGTCTGGCCTTCAGAGGGAACTTTGTACTCAGACGGCGGTACAGGGCATCAACCAGCACTGCTGCATGGTCATTGACATTGACGTCCCAAGACACAGAGGGAAGGCTGTGGAGTATTTCAGAAACAATCTCTGCATTCTCAGGCTTGAGTAACGCCAAGGCATCGACACGAGGAGCACGATCGGCCGCCAAGGGACGGCATACAGCAACGGTAAGTCCGGCAACGATCGCAAAATGATCGGGCACTGAGTGTCCGGCAGTGATGCTGGGCACAACCTTGCCCCAGACACCGGCGTCACGCCATTCTCTAGGTAGGCCGAGGTAGTCACTACGCTTTAGCAAACCAGAGCGCCGCTGGACCAATGTGCCGCCGGGCCCGGAAAAAGCGTCAGCAAAGGTGGCCGGGAGCCATGCGTCGCACTTTAAGAGGAGGGCATGGAAAGCCTCCCCTGCTGCGTCCTCGGTTTCAGCCTGCAGGTCGCCAACTGCATCGCTAGTGATTGATCCCAGGTCGCAATTGCCATCAACGCAAAAGACCCAGCGAGATGAGAGCCCAGCTTGGGCGCATATCCGCGAGGATTCATGCCACCACGCCAATCGGTCTGCAGCCTTGTGTCCTTTATGAGGAGCATGACCCACAAAGACACAGAGTTGCTGCTGAGAAACCGTGATCCGCGTGACAAGGCGGGTAAAGTCATGATGGAGCACAACTGCCTGGTGAGGCGGGAAGCCCGGTCCTGTCCCCACCCACAGTTCGGTGCCAAATGCACGTTTTTCCAAGCACCCTGAACAATACCGAGTGTAGTGCGCGCTCTTAAAGCAGCCTTCTGGGGTCCTAGTTTCCTGCAAGCCCGCAATAAAGACATTCTCAGAGTGCAAAGATTTGTCCAACAGAGCCACTCGACCTACACAATCATGCAGGCCCAGGCGTTTGCCGCGATCGGTCGCAGCGGGGTCCGCAAGGGAAAGAACATTAAAGGAGGCTAGGACCCAGTTATCGAGGCGCGAAGTGTCTTCCCCAGCACTTCTTTTATCTGGCATAGAGCGCGAGAAAGGGGCGACATGGTCCGCAGGGTCGAGAAGTGCCCGTGGTTCATGCATATCCCAAGACACCACACCAGATTGCAGGCGAGGCGCACACGCAGGATTGCGGCAACACCAACACCAGTGAGGCACCCAGGCAAAGGCAGCACCATGTGCACCAAACCAAGACGCCCAGGCAAGCCCGGAGGCTCCCGTAGCATCCTCATGGGCACCACTGCCAGCGAGCGCGTCGGCAAGCTCATTAGCTGGATCCCCTGAATGACCCCGGACATGGGAGTACTTCGGCACTACGGAAAGCCAAAATCTCAAGCCCAAATGAAGTCCTTGGCATGCTGTGATGACAGCGTGGTCCCTACCGGACGCTGCTCCCGCGGCGACATCTAAGGCAGATTGACTATCACAAAAGAAAGTGACAGGCAGCTGGGTGCGTAGCTGGAAGCAGAGAACGGCGGCCCACACAAGTCCAACCAGCTCAGACGCAAAGGCATTTACCATTCCCGCTGAGGCACCGCCATATTCCCAGATGTCCGCGGTTCGGCCCCGGATGTGGCCGACAAAAACCCCTGGCGGAGACAGGCTGCTCGGGGTGAGAGCCGACACGACCACACTCCATCCTGCTGCATCAGGGGCAGGGCCAAAGGACCCGTCGGAAGTAAGGCACAGCATGTGGGCGTCCGACGGAAGGCAGCCAGCAGTTCCCGACATTATCCAACTTGCAAAGCGTTCAGCTTGCGGCAACGTGGCAGGGAGACATGGGAGGCGGCTAACGGGAACAAACCGACACAGGTCGCACCACATTTGCTGGGAAATGGGGAGTTCACATTGCCCCCGGTCTAGTGTGAACCAAGAGGTGCCACTGGTCCTGTCACAGTCGGCTTCAAGGCCGAAGTCAAGTGATGCTGCCAAGGAGATTTGCACAGGAAGGTCATCTGGGCCATCCATGCGGAATGTCGCAGGACCATCGTCGGTCACAGGAGGCGCAGGCGCCACCGCGAAGTGATCAAAAAGTACTTCGAGTAGCGTACAAGCATCAAAGAATGCCGGGCAGTCGGGCAAAGCAGCACTTTCTTGCAGGAGAGTGGGCCCTATCCCGAATGATTCCCATTGAAGCTCGGCAACTGAAGGCGCAATAACAGGTGACCGCAGAGGGCCACGGCAAGGAGTTGGCACCGGCCTGCGACCTGGTGCAAGACGGCACATAGTCTCCTGTGTATGCCCTCGCGTATCCCCCCAAGAAGGACCATGACGCACGGGAAGGTTGGAGGCAAGGGCCTCATGGGAGCGTGAGGAGATCTGCATAGCCCGCACCGGCAAGGAACAGTGCAGGACAACGAAAACAGGGAGACATCGTCTCAGGGCCCCCAGACCGCCGCACAGGAGGCCAGCCAGTAAAAGAGAGGGGAGCGATTGCGCGGCACACAGCAGCAGGATAGGGGTGAGGCCAAACGCGCCCAACAGAAGGGCATGTTGCGTAAGACGTTGGCTCCACATAACCACAAAGCTGTGAACAGTAGTATGCGTGTTTGCACTCGTTGGGCAGAACGGGGGGTATGTGGCTCCGAGCTGGCAGCTTCCATAGTATCCGCATCACTGACCGGAAAGGGCCCGAGTGCAGCATCAGAGGCATCGTCCGCGACCGGGCTATCTGCAACCTCAGCATTGACGAGGCTGGTCAAGGCGGGCACGTCGCGCACTCGAATGACAGCAATAACTTGGCCGGGCTCTATCCAGGTCCACTCCCAACGATCCGGATAGTCGACAAGCGAAATGTGCCATCCCTCAAAGCCACTCACAGAAAAGGCTTCGCGAACGGTTCGAAGACAGAGCCATCCGTTCGGAGCTAAGAAGCGAGTCCAGCCATGAAAGATAGCTCGTCCATCCACCAGGCAGGCGGTCTCGCCCCACACGGCACCGCCTACATTTCCGCGAGCATCGTCCCCAACGCCAAGGACAGTAGAGCAAGGTCGCCCATGCACTGCTACATCAGACGGCCGGGGGGTGGCTGGGCTTAGGAAAAGGCGATAGAGAGAAATTCCAAACAACGCCGCAATGTCAGAGCGATAGAACGGCCCGCGACCAGCTCGGAGGGTGAAAAGGACGTACTTTGCATCGCCCACGACACAGTATCCGGGGTCCCAGATAGGTTGAGGAAAGGCTGGGCCGGGCGCCCAGGCAAGATGGGACTGAAGCATAGTGTGGAGATCTGCACTCGGACCGGGCATTGCCCCACGCCGGGTAAACGTAATGCACATCCCCGAAACCAATTGCAATTCCGCACCCGGGTCAACGGGAGAGGGGTGTTCCGGCACGTATACGTCCACATCGGCAGCCCCAGATAGCCCAGCAAGGAGAAGCAAGGCAAAACGGTCGGTAACAGCTGGTGTGGAGACCGCAAAGAGACGGCCATCGAGGTCCACCAAGTTAAAGCAGACCATAGGAAGATACCCCTGCCACTCAGGTAGCATAAGCAAAACCGCCCAACATGCATCCGGCTGGGGCACAACGGGCAGAAGTGTGGGGAAGCGGTCCTTAAGAAAGTGGCCCCGACAGAGGTTAGCCAACTCGAGGGCCTCGGGCACGGTCTGCGGAACAGCAATCTGAAGATGTATGTGTTCGGCATGGTACTCCGGGGCAAGCAATACGAAGACCGTGTCCAGAAGGACGGGCGCACTATCCGTGTCAGATGCCTCACCATCATCCGAGGCCACAAACGGGAGTGGCTGATGTGCCTCCGGGTCAAGCGGCCAAGGGAGACCAAGCTGCCGAGTTGCATCCCGGGCAAAGTTGAGAAGCCTGCCAGCCACTCGGGAGTTCCCACTTGGAAGTTCGAGAAGTCTGGTCCGAATATGCTCGAGCGCTGAGAAGGAAGGAACCTCCCTAGGAACCGCTCTGCTAAATTGGCCCCATGGATCCACGCCAAAGCCACGCTCTTGCGGGAGGGCAGAGGTGAAGAACCGCGCGCCCTGAGCAAGGGCATCGAGAAAAGTCACGGCAGTCCACATGTCAACTCCATCGCATCGGGATGGCTCTTGGAGCAATCGGCACGCAAGACCCGCATAAGAGGCCCCAGTGGACAAATCGGCAGGAGGCCCGACCAGGGGCCACGTCACAATGGAACGCTGCGTAGTGGTGGCAGACACACTGGTATCATCTGTGTGAGTTGTGGACCGAGACCCCGCTCGAGGCGTCCGGCTGCGGTTTCGTGTCCCCTCACGGGAGGAAGGAGATCCTCTCGGATCACGGCCCGCCGGCGGTTCATGCGGTGCCTCCCCGGCTGGGCCCTCACCCGGGGGGGCCGGTGAGTCCGAGGGCGAATCCCCAAGAAAATCCTCCACGAATTCAACGATGAGGACTTGGCCATGCCTCAGGAGAAAGACAGGCCCATCTGGGCGGCTGCGTACCTCGGCTCCTCGTACCGAAACAATGTGCTCAGCAGGGCATCGATCGACAAAACGGTCAACAATGGAGCCAACCTCTACTTCGTGACCCCCACTAAGGAACCAGGTAAACCCTTGGAGAACTCGTCTACAGTCCAGGATAACGACAATGCGATTTTCTGGTTGTCGCGCTGGCGGGTAGGGGACACAGGAGAGGCGTTCGGTGACAACGATCACACCTGTGGCCAAGAAGCCGCGAGGAAAAACATCACCAATGGCAGGGTGGGAGCTCTTGAATGTGAGAGAGTGCTCCACAGCGCTGAGGCAGGCACACACATCTGCCTTGAATGTGGATCTTCGACCTGGAATGACCTCAAAGAGACACGGCGAAGCATCCGTCAGAAGCCAAAAGTGGCTGCCAGGGTAGTAATGCGGGCCGGGCAGGTCAGTCGCCTCATGCCACATATCTCTGTTCAGGAGACGGGTCCCCAAGTCTGTCCCACCTGGGGCACCCGTACTCGCAGGAACCACACTAACCGTGAATCCGGAGGATAGGGTAATGCGCTGGTCGAGCTGGAGAGGGTGCACAAGGCCATGGACAAAGACTTGGTGGCTCAAATCAGCGGCAAATCCAGCAGCGAGAAGGAGAGATTCCCTATTCAGGTGGCAGTGCACTGCAGCCGCGAACATTGTGTCGTTGACCCTGCGGCAATCAAATAAGATGATCACCTTCTCAGCCAACCAGTTGGGTGCTGCCACAAGAACAGCAATGTCGGGCACCGGTTGAGGCGTAGCCGGGAAGAGATCGGGAAAGCTGACTACCAAGTCGGATGACCGCATCTCCTGTAGCTGAGCTATAAAAGGGGTCACACCCATAGGGAGACGGACCTGAACATGCAAGAGCTCGGGGGCAAACTCTGGCATATAGATAAGGACAGTGGTCGGGAACTGCTCATCCGTCATGGCATCTGTGGGACCAGGGGTGCTTGGGCTGCGAAGAAGCAAAGCAGCAGTCGCAGATGAATCAGCAGCCGGAGGCCGTTCCCAGCCAGCAGTAAAGGCAGCACCGACACTGCCTATACGAGAAAGCTCATCACTGTCCATCGCGTCAGAGGCCATCCGGTCTAATGTGGGCCATAGCTCCGGCACATTATACTCGCCACGATCCTCTGTCGGGACCGTTGGGGCAGCATGCGCCCAGTCTGGTGTAAGAGGCCAGTTCGCGTCTAACGCTGGCCCCAGAGAAGCTGGTGATCCCGACATTTCCACGGGCTCGGGGAGCCTAGGCATACCTGAGACCTCCACTGCATTCCAACTATGGCCTGCCGGAATAGACGTGTCCATAGCGGCCAACTCCTCGTCGGGCGGGCTCAGCCTAGTCCACTCCGGGATCTCAGCACCACCAGCCCCAGAAGCCGGAGGAGAAGGCGAACGGGGCACTGTGTCTGGATCACTAGAGGATCCATCAGAAGGTTTTGCCTCAACATGGAAAAGGAGGATGGGGCATCCCTGGACCTTCACGTATTCACCAGAATAACGGCCACCAACAACTCCCACCTGCATAGCGGCTGGCAATTCGATCTGAAAATCCGAAAGAATGCTTGGCACATGGAGCTTCGGAACATGGGAGTGAATGAACTCCGGTTTGAGGCCAAGGGGGCGGAAATCGCATAAAGCAAAGAAATCCTGCCTAGCTCGGGTAGCTTCGCCTTCAACTAGTGGAGGGCGATCCAAGATGACCACCATCTGAGGACATAACCACCCTTGGACATCTAGGTCCGGAAGCGAGAAAGTGCAAGCAAGTATTGAGTTCACGTCCAACCGCAAACTACTGATTGCATGCTCCAGTACCGTGCGGCCGAGGTGATGATGCGCACCGACGCAAAATCGTTGCCGACGGTATATGACGCAAACGCTTTCATGCCTTTCCACAGGGAAAAAGTGGTGCATCGGGCCCCAGAGTGCATGGTCCTCCAAGGCTTCCGGCTGTCGTCTCGCAAAGGTAGCGTCGCAGCGAAGGACAGTAATCACGTCCCCATCACTAAAGTTCACCAAGGCAGCTTCAGGCCACGGGTACGTACGGCACCCCACATAGAAACGGAGTGGGGTGTCGCCATCAGAGGTGAGAGGGACTATGAAATCCTGCAGACTGGCATACGACATATAGCGCGGCAAAACTGACGCGAAGTAATGGCCGCCCACGCGGGTCAGGTCCAGCACAACGGCTGAGTAGCCTTCGCCTGTTTGGCCTAAGACACTGGGGAACCTTATAACGGAAAGGTAATCCCCAAAGCGCTGGGGGCGTAAAGGGACAATGCACTCCATGAGGCCTGCAGGTGCACCAGGGGCACAGTCAAGGATCGTATCCAGAACACTACGAAGACTCGCACCATGCGCTGCTCTCACTGCAAACAACACAGGCGAGTAGTAAGGAGTGTAAAGGTAGACCCCAAGCCAGTCAAAGTCGGCTTGGGCTGCAGGGCCGCCGGTCGGCCATTCCGGCCCATGGACACAGATGGACCGGCTGATCCGATCCTGACGTTCGGGATCCTGGCGTGGGGAGCCTGGTGCATCGCCGCCTGTAAAAGATATGAAGTCCTCTGGGCGTGCCGCATGCAGGACCCTGCCGGCTGCATGGCCTTCCCCCGGCCGGGTCATGGCCTCACCCACAAAGGGAAGTAAAGCTGCAAGAGGGACGCTCAGACGCGCAGCGACAACAGGTTGAGGCAGGGAGTGCCAGGAAAGAAACCCTAGCCAAAAGCCCCACATCCGAGAACCTGAAAGAACTCGAGGATTCCTAGAAGCAATCCGACCTTTACGATCCCTCCAGGGCTTCCAATCCAAAACATCCCTGTCCGGACGCGAGAAACGCAGCCCAAGGGGAACAGTGAGCACAGAGACAAGGGCGCCATGAGTGCGCCGAGCACACAACGGGCGAACAACAAGATTGAGCAGTGCAATCAGCAAGACTAAGGCACCGCTCTTACACACAGGAGCTAAGGCTTCGCTCAGCCAGCAAAGAAAACAAAGCGCCCATTGTTCGCTCTCGGAAGAGCCACCGATGCGATCATCACCTGGTAGGTACCCCAGAGCCACCGATGTACCTTTTAGGCACCAGGTCAGATCAAGCCAAAAGACATATGGACAACAACACCCAAGAAAGGGAGCTCGGGGCGAGTGTGCTGCTCCATGACTTATAAAACACGCCTGTAGACTGCCATCAACCCATGAGAAGCAGCCAAAAGAGGAGGCGCTATTGCTCAACAGACCGATGCCGGCAGATCCAAGATGCAGGCAGTCGAAGTGGCGGGGGCATGTCACGAAGAGCTCAAAAACCCAATGAGCCTCCAAGACAGCCGAGGACAAGGCCCTGGAAAGGGCCAGCGAAGACGCACCTGGGCCCGCGACCCGGGCGACCTCTAGCCGCAGAAGAGAAAGTCCAATGCATACGCCAGGGAAAGAGACCCCGGCGTCATGGCGTGGGCACACCCAAGACAGCTCCAAAGCCAAAGGAACCGCAAAGGCAGCCGAGGACAAAGTCCGAGGAGGGACCTGCGAGGAAGGGACACTGACGGGATCCTCCGGACAACAAAATTCCACCATGGGAGGAGGGTGCATGAGGATAGCACACAAGGGTCCCCGAAGACCAGAGCAGACCCGAAGCGGAACCAAAACCCCATGGACCGCAAGGGAAACAGATGTACAGGAAGCCGTGCCGACAAAGGGGACTGTACAGACTACCCTATACAGCCACTCCTCAGAAGCACAGTCAGGTAGACAGGCGACCTGGCCGGCGTCAACTGCACACGAACCGACTTGACCGATGGGTAACAGGAGTCCCCGAGTGCCAAAGACCCTGTCTCCAACAAGGTCGCACTCAGAAGACGCCGGACCCCCCAGCCGTCCGTATCCGTGCGAGCTGACAACCTGCCCCAAGCGCAGGCTTACGTCTCCGAAGGCCGCTCGTCCAGGCTTGCAAGAGTACCATCGGCGGCCATGTGTTTGTCCTCGTCGGAATCGTCGTCCACAGGACCTGTGGGTTTTGGCCCTGCAGCCATATTGATCAAGCCGCCAACCCCAAAGGGCCGAAGAGCCATGCTCTGCAGCTCGGCAGCGCGTCTGGCCTCCAACTTCTCCTCGAGCGAGATGTTGCGAGCGGCCTTGGCAGGCGGGTGCATCGTCGCAGACTTGATGTCTTCCCTCGGGGGGGCCTCGGCAGTCATCTGACGCGGGAGCCCCAAATCGCGCTGTCCTGGGTGTTTCGGAGATTGTCGGCTCCCGGTGTCTAGGCCAGGAGGTCTCGCACTCATAGAAGCGGGTCCCGTGGCCGGAGGGGTCCAGCTCGGAGCGGGGCCGTTCTCTGTCACGGTAGCAAGGTATGGATCCTCCACTCCGGAACTCGTAAAAGCCGAGCCAGCAACAGCGGATTTGGCAGTCATGGCCGAGCTCGGAGTCATGGGCTGAACCGGCCTTGCACGCATAGGGGTAAAAGGAGTCAGGCCAGCTGCCCTTGCCTGGGCAACTGCACGCTCCAAGACCCCATCCATGTCGTTGGCCGCCTCCTTCTCCCAAGCCTCGCGTGCGATCTCCCACGAGCGATCCTCGTCTGCCGTGGGGAACATCTCCTGAGCAGCTGGAAGACCCGGCCCAAACACCATGAGGCGTGCTTGCTCCTGCTGGTTCAGCGCCTCCGCAATATCCCTCTCCAATCGCTCGGAGTTCTGAGCGAACTTGCGCTTCTCGCGCAGAAATGCCTGTTTCATCTCTTGATCCCAGGCATCCCATTGGGCTTTGGCTTTGTCTCGCTGTTGCATAAGCTTCACCACCCTTTGCTCCGCACGACGTGCCACATTGAGCAGCTGTTGCAGCCCATTCATAGGTCCCTGGTCTTGCGAGGAAGCGGCTCCACGGTTGGTGTCGGATGTAAGATCCACCACCTGCATGGCCTGGTAGGAAGGGATGTGCGCCGCGCCCTTCTTTGATCAGCTGGGTTCTTGCTAAGGGTTTATCGGCTTTATGGACTTTGTTAAGGATTTGGTAAATCTTTGTGAAGTATGTTGTAAGTGTCTTGTAAGTCAGTCATAACCAAGGAGAAAGCAGTATAAGATGTTATGTGAGTTAACAACATTGTATAATTTTTTGTGGT